TGAGACCCTGCAGAGGGAAATCACGCGTAAGGGCGGGGCCGGTCAACATGTGAGGCTTGGGTAAGGGGACAGGCTACTTCCCTGGGCTTCTGTGACAGAAGTGTGCCAGAAAAGATGCAGGCCAGTGAATGGGATGAAAGACGAAGGGCTCCACCACTGTTAACCTTACACAGGGTATGAGGTTGGCCTAATACCACAGCAGAAGCTGTGGGGACTTGGGGGCTCATGGAAAGTGATGAGATTAGATGGCATTAGACAGGAGGGGGACATTAATCAGCAGATGGGATGGGTCCCATGGGGGTGTAAAATGTGCTTGAACAGGGGCTTCTAGAAGGTTGTTATGGCCCCATGCAAGCAAGGATCAAATGGAACATTTTAAAATTCTCTCTTTTTGTTTTTTCTTCTCTTTTTTGTAGTCCTGAGGATTGAACCCAGGACTTTCAGCATGCCAGGCAGATGCTCTCCACTGAGCCACACCCCAGCCCCTCACTAGGGAATTCTAGGCATGTGCTCTACCACTGAGCCACACCCCAGTCCCTCACTAGGGAATTCTAGGCAGGTGCTCTACTGCTGAGCAACTACCTTATTTTCTTTCTACTTTTGAGAAAAAGTCTCACTAAGTTACCTGGGCAGGCCTTGAACTGCTGCTGTCACCAGGAATTTGCTGTCCTCCTGCATCAACCTCCTGAGCAGCTGAGATGTTAGACCTGGACCACCAGCCCCAGCTCCTTCTTTTACTTGGTTCCATGTTGGCCTGTAGACTATCAGAGAATCCTGTCTGTGACCAGGGGGCGTCTCCTAGCACATGTCCTCTTGGGAACACCCTCACCGAAGTGTACTTTACTCATCTCCTAGGAATCTCAGTGTTTACACACGTTTTGTATGTATGTGTTCATGTATGTGGGTGCACTTGGCTTACAAATGTGTTATGTGTATCCTAGTTAAGGTTACTATTGTGGTAAAACACAATGACCAAAGCAAGTTGGGAAGGAAAGGGTTCACTTTATTCGGTTCATATTTCCACAGCATTGTTCCTCATGTAAGGAAATCAGGGCAGGAACTCAAACAGGGAACCTGGAGGCTGGAGCTGATGCAGAGGTCATGGAGGCTAGTTACTGGATGTAGTTGGATTTTCTTTGGGCTGCCAACCAGCTCACGAATAAAGACACTTATTATTAATTATGAATGCTTGGCCTTAGCTTAGGCTTGTCCCACTAGCTCTTTTAATTTAACCTGTTTCTATTCATCTACGTTTTGTCTCGGGGCTTTTTACCTTTCTTTCATTCTGTATGTCCTATTTTCCTGCTTTCTCCATGTCTGTCTGGTCCCTGTCTGTCTCTTTTTCTTTCTTCCAATAGCCCAAATTCCTCATTCTACTTACTCTCCCTGCCCGGAAGTACTGCCTATACCTTCTCTAAAGTGGCTATTGGCTGTCAGCTTTTTTTTAGACCAATCAGGTGCCTTAGGCAGGCAAGTTAAAGCAGCAACATATCTTTACAAAATTAAATGAATGCAACACATCTTTACACAGTTAAACAAATATTCTGCAACATAAACAAATATTCCAGAACTACTGGCTTGCTTCTCATGGCTTGCTCAGCCTGCTTTCTTATAGAACCCAGAACCACCAACCTAGGGGTAACACCACCCACAATGGGCTGGACCCTCCTCTGTTAATCACTAAGAAAATGCCCTACAGGCTTGCCTATAGCCTTAGGCATTTTCTTAATTGAGGCCCCCTCCACTCTGATAACTCTAGCTGTGCCAAGTTGACATAAAACTAGCCAGCACAATGTGTAATAGAGAGAAAAGGACAACCCCAAGTCTCAAGTGTCCTTCCTCAGATGCTGTCCACCTATTTTTTTTTATTTTGAGACAGTGTCTCTCATTGGCCTGGAACTTATCAAGAATGCTAGGTTGACCAGCCAGGGAGCCCTAGGGACCTGCCTGTTCCTGTCTGCCTTGCTCTGGGATTATAAACATGATCCACAACACCAGGGGACTTTTTAAAGATGGGCTCTGGAGATTGAACTCAGGTCCTCAAGCTTGTAAGGCAAACATTTTATCAACTGACCTAAGCCCCAAATTTGCATGCCTATCAGTATGGGAGTTTTGACCTGCTCTGCCACCCTCTCCTTAGAAAACCTGGTTGTCCCCTGTTCCTGGGAAGTCACCATGTTGATGCTGAACTTAGTATGGGTACACCATCAGTACAGCCCAGAACTCTTGCTTCAACCCTGAGTAGCTGGTATGTGCTACTGAGACTGGCTCAAATTCTGCATGCTGAAGCCCCAACTCCCAGTTTACTATATGAGTGCATTTGGAGACAGGGTCTCTATGGAAGTGATTCAGGGAAGGTAATGTTTTAGAGTGACTTGCTTCAGTGGGGCCAACTCTCTTGACTCTAGACTTCTGGCCTGCAAGATAGGGAAGAGAAAAATGTCTGTGTTATCTGTCTTCTAGTCTTGGTGTTGGTCACAGTGTCCCCACGGACCACAGCACCCACTGAAAGCAGTTTTGAGGATTAAGTATTCCGAGAAAAGCAAGTGGGGCCAATGCAGGGGAGACCTTAAGGAATTCAGCCTTCTATGGTGCCTCTCCCATCTCTGACACAGTGTAGAATCATTTTATTTCTGGTGGACGGCTCCACATAGGGGCTTTATAGTGTTATACATATGTCAGACTTTTTCTGGAGAGATGCAACACACACACACACACACACACACACACACACACACACACACACACACACAGTCTATTCACCCCACATCCCAGAAACGACAGACCAAAGTACCAGAGTTCAACTTGGTGAATTGATGAGTTTTTTTATTGGGGTAGCTAACAGCTGCATGGGTGAGGGGTTCCTTACAGGAGCAGGGATGACTCAAAAGCACCTTCATCACTTTGAAAGCACACCACAACTAGAAGATGACTGGCAGGCATCTCCATGGGCTGAGAAATCTTGCAGTTTGGTTGATCAGTCCCTTCCCCCACTAGGTGTTTCCTACTACTATGAAGTTGAGGAAGCGCCTTACACAATCTTCCTACTGGCCACTTTCCCAGACATGTGACACTGGTTTACCTCTGGAATCCCATGAGGGATTCCATCTCCCTCCCTCCAGGAGGAGACTGCGATTGAACATGGACCACTGATCACGATGCAAGTGTGCAGAGGAGACAAAGTCAAATGGAGCTAAACAGGAGGGAAAGCTGGGCATGGCAGCACATATCTGTAATACCAGTACCCAGGAGAGAGAGAGAGGCAGGAGGATTATGAGTTGGAGGCCAGCCTGTGTTACATAGCAAGATCCTGTGTTTAAATACCAAGATCTGGAGCCAGCCAGCTAAGAGTGAGTCTCATGACCACTTTAAGAATGAGAGGTGAGAAGCTGGGCCTTGGTGGTGCACGTCTTTAATCCCAGCACTCAGGAGGCAGAGGCAGGCGGATCTCTGGGAGTGCAAGGCCAGCCTGGTGTACAGAGCAAGTTGCAGGACAACCTCCAAAGCAATACAGAGAAACCCTGTCTCGAAAACCAAAAAAAAAAAACCAAACCAAACCAAACAAACAAAAACAAACCAAAGACAAAGAAAGAAAAAGAATGAGAGGTGTGTTAGCCGGGCAGTGGTGGCACACACTTTTAATCCCAGCACTTGGGAGGCAGAGGCAGGCGGATCTCTTTGAGTTGGAGACCAGCCAGCCTGGTTTACAAGAGCGAGTTCCAGGACAGGATCCAAAGCTATACAGGGAAACCCTGTCTTGAAACATACCCCCCCCCCAAAAAAAAAAAAAAAAAAAAAAAAAAAAAAAAAAAAAGCAGAGGTGTGAATGTGAGGGCCTCCCACTCATTCCATATGGTGTTATTCAATCAAGGTCAAGCCAGCAGGCCTTTCTCTGGTTACAAGGGAAGCTATACACAGTCACAACTGTGTGTGTATATATTTTATTTTGAGCCATGTTTTCATATATCCCAGCCTGGCCTTCCTTGCTAGGTAACTGAGGATAACCTTGTCCTTCTGATACTCCTTGCCTCAGTCTCCCAAGTGCTGGGATAGGAGGTGTGTACCATGGCTTGTCACTTTATTTCAGAGGGGTTCTCCCTATACAGTCCAATCCAGTTTGGAGCTCAAGATCCTCCTGCCTCAGCCTTCCAAGTGCTGAGATTACAAGTGTTACCAAGCCTGGAATACTTGTTTATCTATTCTGTAAACTTCAAATCTTTTTAGAGCAGGGTACAAAGGGCCCGTGAGAAGGCTCAGTTGGTAAAGGTGCCCACTGATCTGAGTTGAGTCTCCAGAACTCACAAAAGTAGGAGAGGACAGACTCCAACAGGTTGTCTTCTGACCTCCACATCCACAATAGCTAATAAACGGTTAAAATATTAGGATAGTGCATAAAGTTTAAAAAGGCAGCAACCTAAAATCCAATAACCTATTTAACAATTACATGGAGCGCTTGGACAGCAGCCGAGTCTTCAGTAGGATCTCATAAACACAATCGCTAAGACTAAGTGCTATAATAAAGCGCCTGTAATATTTTAATAACTTCCTCTTCGAACCGTTCACTTATGATTGAATGTGTACTGAGAGTGGAACATGGAACCTGCAGGCAGCCGGCCACACAGGCGGCGCTCTGCATGGATCCCACCCGCAGAGTGCTCGTTCCTCCATCCATCCATTCATCCCTGGCCGGGCAGCGTTATCTCCGAGGCCCCGCCCACACCGCAGCAGCCTCCGCTTTACACGTGATCGCGGACCACCGTTCCCTCTGCCCCGCGTGGGTCAGGAAACGGCAGGCGTGCTCAGTCGGGAC